AAGGAAGGAGAAAAGAAAATTAAAAAGAAAAACAAACTTGCAAAACTTGAAGAAAATGATAAAAATCATAATAAAAATAAACTTTCCTTATGTTAGTTGTTTCAATTATGTTCCTATGGCTAGACTCGTCAAATCAGGGACACCTGCTCATTTCTGTGTTCTCAGCACAAGGGCACAATATGAGGGCCTCAGAAATTGTGAGAAAATAATAATAGTAAATCCTTTACATTTGTACAGGGCTTCAAAGTTTGAAAAGTTTCCCAAGACTTCATGCTTTCTCCTAACAATGGGACACAGGGCACAGATCCATACAGGCTCCTTGGGCTGAGCAGGTTTGTGGACACTGAAAGGCCCCAGGGACAGTTTAACGGCCTCTGTTGACAGTGGGACAGGATGGGCACCTTTCTACCAATGGTGCTATTGGGGATTTCCAGAGGGGAAGACTACCACAGCTAACCTTAGCTACTGCTAGGTCCATTCCTGTTCAGAGCAGGGATATATATAGTCAAAAGCCTGGGGAGGAAGTATGATGGAGAGATGAAGAGGGGCATAAATACTCCCCCAAAACACTAATGGTCCCTTGCAAGGAGAAACAGTATAAAAATATCACTCAAAAGTCTTGTCTTTAACCACCTTTCTTAACTGTCAGGATCTCTCTCTCTCTCTCTCTCTTTCCCTCCCTCCCCCACCTCTCTCTCCCTTTCTCCCTCTCTCTCATTATGTAGACTAGGCTGGCCTCACAGAAATACGCAGTCTTGCATCTTTTAATCAATTAAACAAACAAACAAACAAACAAACAAACAAACAAAAAACCTATTGTCTTTAATTGTGCATAGTTTTAAAGCAATGCTTAATTCCTCTTTGGAAAGCAGGAAAATTATAATTATACAACTATGAATGTTTTGAAAGCAGGAACTAGTCAATAGAAGTAAAAAAACAAACAAACAAACAAATCCTAGACTGGTAGTAAAGCCTAGTATAGAGTATGTGTTCAGCATGTGCAAGATCCTGAATTCAATCCCCAGCTCTCCAGTGCCATGTGAGCATACACACACACACACACACACACACACAGAGAGAGAGAGAGAGAGAGAGAGAGAGAGAGAGAGAGAGAGAGAGAGAGAGAGATACATGTGCATACACGCAGAGACACAGTGAGACACACACATACACAGAGACAGAGAAACCGAGAGAGACACACACAGAGAGACAGAGATAGACAGACAGACACAGAGACCACAACTCAAAACTAAAAACTCCAAGTCCCCAGATCAGAAAGACACTGCCACATCATGCTTCTGCTTCCTTCCAGGGTGTCCCCTGAAGTCTGTGGGTGCTACTGCTCTACAAGGTGAGAAATGGTGATTTTATCATTCACCCCACAAGAAATTCATGCTAGAGAAGAGCGATCTTTGTGGGAAGGACTAACGTTTGAAGCAGGTACAGAAAGAGTGCAGGGAAGGAACATCTCCCTACCTCCAGAGGTACCAACAATGAAAACAGGGGGAACGGGTGGTTTGACTGAGGGACAGGAAGGCATTCAACTTCATGTGCTAAAGTCTTGAGAGGCAAAAAGCAAATTCATGCATTAATAATGCTTTTTATTTGTAAAGAAAACTTTGCATCTTAACCACTTTTTTAAAAAGCCATAGAACACAATTCTCAAAATTGGAGCTGTACACTGTCTGCATGTAAATGACAGCAGGCCAGGCAAATCTTGAAGTCTTTTGTCTTCCTGACGTCTACACTCTTCCTGGTGGCTGTGGCTGTGTGGAGCAGCCATCCACTCTTGGGAAAGTGGTAGCATTTCCAAGGCTGGGTGGTTACATTAGGGGCTCAGCTACTTCTGTGGTCTTGCATTCTGGTGAAACTTACAGACCCCTCTGGTAAGTGTAGTGTGTGTAATTTTTTTTAAAGCACATAGGGTCACAAGGTATCACAATCCATTTTTTAAAATATTAAAATAAGCATTTCTGTGAACACGATGTAGTGGCAGGTTTAATGTCTGCCACGGTTTTTAGAAGAATAAAGAGAAGAATTGGTGTGTGACTACTGTTAGTGAAAAGACCCACACACTGCCACTACTGTAGTCTACAGCCTTTGTTCCTGTCTGAAGAGAAAGTGAAGTCCACTTAGAGGCTAGTGAAATGGCTATAATTTTATTTCTCAGATCTCTCCTCTGACTCACAAAGAATCCAGGCGAAGAAGCCTGACTAGTGGCGTCCTCTCCCTGGTCCTACCTTACGGATCTGATGAGGTTAAACTGTGGCTGCTGGGGGAAAGTGGATAGCATCCGTCAAATACTCCACACATACTCACATGTAAGCCTTGTAGTTGTTGCCAATCTTCTGAACCCGGATGTCATACTTGGCGTCAATGAAGGGTTCTGCTGTGGCATAGGTCTGGGTGAGGGCCACCACACTAGCAATGTCCTGGAAGTCGTAGTGATTTTCCACTTTGACCTAGTGTTGACGTAAGACAGACAGGAAGGGGACATGTACATACACACACTGAGAAGTCACAAGGGCCTAGAGCCTCCAAGGCAATCACACAGTTTCTGACACTGGTAAACACGAGCATCCCATCTCCCCAGCAGTTCCTTTTCTCTAGTCCCTTCCCAGAGCCAGGGTCACACTCAGGGGCCAGCTGGGTTGGTTGTACTCTTCATTGTATGACTGGGCAAAATCCATGGCTTCTAAGGGACCTGGTCAGGTCCTTGGGAGAAATCCACTGACACAGGAAGAAGAATAGTCTACAAATGGGCTTGCTGAAAAACAGAAGCCCCCTTTGACTTAACCCAGACCACCAGCCATCCTGCCTTACCTTGCCCATGCCTGAGTGAGCATGACCAATCTTCACCACCACAGGGAATGTAGGCAGTGTAAGCTGAGAGAAAAAAAAAAAAAGAAAGAAAGAAAGAAAAAAAGAAATGGACTGGTCAGTAGGTCTTTTCTCTTTGGAATCCGGAAATATTTTCCTCCTTTAAAGAATCAGTGTAGGGCTGGAGACAGTTGAGCGGTTAAGATGGCTTCCTGCTCTTGCAGAGGACCAGGGCTCAATTCTCAACACCCACACCAGGTGTCTCAGAACCATCTGTAATTCCAGCTCCAGGGCTTCTGACACCTTCTGGCCTCTGCAGACGCCTGCATGCACATAAACTCATATAGGCACACATACATCCACAGAAATAAACAAACAAAACTTTGGTGAATATTATCAAAATACATTGCATGACATTCTTGAATGATTAATAAAAACATTAAACTAAAATAATTAGTGCACCCTACTTGTTTTACACATGGAACCCATAAAATGACAGCAACTTTCCCAAAGTCACACAGTAGGCTGGAGGTAGACTATATGTACCCTGTTCTCCTACCTGATGTTCTCTACATCCCACGACTTCAATTTTCTCTATATTAGACAACCCCGGCAGAACTTCCTGTCAGCTAAGGAGAATTTTTTTTAGTTCATGAAAGAGTAAATTTTGCTGTCTGTAAATTGTACTGCAACACACCAGAGACATTTGGAATGCATTTGGAGCACCCTGATGTCCACTGAATCATGGACCTCTGCCCACGTCCCCATCAAGTGCCATCTTTCCTGTGCGGATCCTGTCACAGGCTTAGTATGCTGAAGCTATTTCTATCCGGGTCAGGATTCAGAAGAGAGATGACGTAAGAATTCAGCATGTTTATGCTTGGAAGACATCTTAACAAAGTAGACTTTCCTTGAAGTAGCCTTGTTTTAACAGAGGAGGAATAAGATTCAAAGGAAGAAGGACCCTCCAAAGGCAGGGTTTTGAGCTGCTTTAACAAAATTCAGGCAGAAATAGTAACACAATGGAGCAGGGAGAGCAGCAGACACCACACTGGCAGGCCAAGATTCTAGTTCTCACAGCACCGAACCTCTCAGCCTTCACATCTGTCAAGTGACAAGGTTGGGTGGATGCTTTTAAGACCCCTCCAAGTGACAACTCTGTCTTGGTCTGAGCATTGTGTGAAGAACCACTCCAGACACCAGCCTGGACCTCCCACCTGCCTCCGCCTGACTTCATTCTCTCCCAATTCCCTTCTTTTCAAGTATCACCGCGGCCATCTCATGGGTGTCTTCTAAAGGGAATAGCTATCAGTAGTAGGGAAAACTCAGATTTTTGTAATGAAAACTCAAGAGTCTCGTGGAGTGTAGCTGTGATCAGAATTGTAGGTTTGGTGCTCTGGACTGCAAACTAAAGAAAGGCAGGAATCACGTAGTTCAGTCCTATTTTATGAAGAAAATAGTTGGGGCCCAGAGAGGCAAAGATCACAAAATGACCCAGTGGCAGTCAGAATCAGGACCCAGCCTCCAGCTCTCCCTGAGGCAGTCATTCCACGAGTTTCTTTTCATTCAAATTCTTGGAGCACTTTGCTGACAAACAGTGGACAAGGCTTGGGTCACAATGACCGGAGTGCCTGGCTTGTTTGCTAAGTGGCTCCACCTTCTGCAACATGGCGGTCTCCAGGGGGCAATGATGTGCAGTAGGAGCTTTGAGGTCCCAAGTTTGCCCTGACCGACAGGACACCCTGTGTTTTAAGCTTCATGGAAAGAACTGCCCTCAACTCTCTGCAGTCTAAGGCTCTGGCTGTGAGAAAGGGTTTGAAAGCACTGGCTACTTTCTCTGACATCCTTCCCCACCCCCCAGCTGACAGCGCCAAGACACACACACCCCAACTTTCTCTGTCCTGTTCCCTGACTGTTTGCTGTTGCTTTGGAGCCTCATAAATAGGGCATTGAAAGCACTTCCTGCGACTGAAAGAAGCCCTGAGGAGCTTGTCTCATTCCCAGTATGCAGCTCAGCGAGGGGTCCGTCCTCCTCTGTCACTGTCTCTTTTGCCTGTTGTAATTCTGTCTGCCTCTGACTTGGCCTGTGTCTCTCTGTGTCTCTGCCTCCCCTCCCCTCGATTGCTGCTTTTACTGGAGCCTCAGTCCCTCATCTTTCCGACTTCTTGTCTCTGCGCTGGTCTTTGCTTTTCTCTCTCGGCCCCCAACACTGTGTCTTCCCCTCTACTTCCAGGCTGCTGCTTCTTTCGGAATCTGCAGGCTTTCCTCTGCGTTATTGGGTCTGTTGGTCTGGTCAGGAGGACCTTGGGTCCTGCGGCTCTGGGTGGCCCGCGGCCAAAGGAGGGAGGAGCCCATGGGGGGCGGGATTGGCCCTAAAGCCACCTCATAAAGACTGGGACTGTACGAGACTTTCTGGAGGAGTCCTGGAGGGGCTGTTTGTTACGACAGGCAGACCCCGCGAGCTCAGCTGGGGCTCTGCAGTGTCATGCCCTGGAGCCCCCTGGCTGCGCTGAGCTGGGCGCTGGTGCTGCGGCTGCTGGCATTGCTGCGGTCCCCGGGGCTGGGTGAGGCGTGCACTTGCGCGCCTGCGCACCCCCAGCAGCACGTCTGCCACTCAGCTCTAGGTGAGTCCTTGGCCCTGGAGGACTATACCAGGGGTTGCCTGTGGGAAAACTGGTGTTGGGCAGAGCTGTAGACCTGGAATCTGAGGGAAGGGGTGGAGCTCTGATCCTGTATGGGTGCCTCCTGCTGCAGCTGATAGGTCAGAAATGGCTGTTGCTGTATTGACCTTGGAAGTACAAAGCCTGATTTGTAGGGGAATAAATATTTTATCACAGATCTCCAAAGTAGTTCCCGTCAGCTCAGCTTGATGGGACCTAGCTGTCACTGGAGCTATCCAGCAATTTTCAGAACTCTTGAGGGGAGGGACATTTGCAATATAACACCTGCCTCCTTGTCTGTAGATGAAGTTGCCAGCTGCCGCCCGCAGGACACACACCTTTTGACCTTTCTCTCCCACTACCTGGACACCCTTCTTTCACACCTTTAACTCCCTGGCAAACTGCTATTCGCCTTTCATATTCCGAAGGCTTTTCGATTCCTTGCCGCCCTTTGTAGTGGGTCCTGCTGTTTTTTAAAAGGAGTTCACCACTAGATGAAGACTTCTGCAGGATGAGAACCCTGTCAAGCCTGTGCAGAGAGGAGGAAGACCTTTTTAAACACAATGTCCAGGGCTGGGGCTGCAGCTCCGGGATAGAGCATTTGCCGCTCATGCGTGAGGTTTCAGGTTCAGTCTTGGGGTGGGGGGGAGGAAGTTCCCAAAAAAGAAAAAAACAAACCAATTCTTGATTAGATGGTAAGAGATGAGCTTCCTCAATGGAGAATGGGGACATTTACAAATTCGATAAACAGTTTTTACTATCACTTGTAGGTGTGTGATGAGATTCTAAGAGGTATCGATAGGTGAGTCCCACACCGATCGCTTTGAAGGGACTCCTACTCTCTGTTTTCGCTACACCCGGGGCCATGGAGAACTTGAGCTCTAGAAACCAACAGGTTAAAAGGCAGAAAGAACACAGTTTAAGGACTTGAACACCCTGAAGGGTTTGAAGCTGGTAACCACCGCGGAGTGGATCCTCAGCCTCTTCTCTCATATGCACCATGCTGCTGAGAACCTAAAAACACTCTACCCAGTCCTGGGACACTCAGAGGAACCCAGGCCACCCAGATCCCAGATTGCATACTCCCACAGTGCTGAAGTTTCCCCCCCCTTTTTTTTTCTGTACAGTAATCCGGGCAAAAATCTCCAGTGAGAAGGTAGTTCCTGCCAGTGAAGACCCCGCTGACACTCAAAAAATGATCCGGTATGAAATCAAACAGATAAAGGTACATGGGGAAGGACAGGGGCTGAGCCGTGACGGGCTGATGGAGGGATGGGGTTTGTGGTAAGGGAGGGAGGAACCTGGTGAGTCAGGCAATGGACTTGGTCTCCTTAGGAAGGTGCTGAAGTGGAACTGTGTGAGCTGGTATGGGCAGGACCCACGGGAACCGAGTGACTGTTCAGGGTGGGGACCTCCGTGGAATAAATCAAGGTTTAGACTTATTTAAACATAAATAAATAAACAGATAAAAAAAAAACCAGCAAGGTCATCTGTGTTCCGAACCTGAATCCGACTTTTGCTTAACATTTGGAAATAAATGAGCACCTTTCAGCCTGCTGCCCTGCCCTGACCTGGTGCTGCGCTTCCATAACTGCCTTCCAGATGTTCAAAGGGTTCGACAAGGCCAAGGATGTTCAGTATGTCTACACACCATTCGACTCTTCCCTCTGTGGTGTGAAACTAGAAACCAACAGCCAGAAGCAGTACCTTTTGACTGGTAAGTTAAGGAGCTAAGGAGAGTTGTGAGAGTGAGCATGGCCTTTCAGTTGGGAGGAGCAAGGAAATTCCCCTTCAGTGCCGGAGTCCCTGCTACAGTGATCTTGGCCACTGTTTCACTATTTTAAGGAGAGTCTGCTCTACCCATCTACAACAGCTAATTCCATTTTGAAAAATTTTAATTGGCATAAGATTTTTGGCATCTTGAGCCCAAATATGTCTCCTGAAGGTGTTTCCCATGTGTTTATCTCTGCCCTGTGCGCAAGCTTGACTCTACCGTTCCACCTCCATGAACCCTGGGTTGGGCCCTCCTCCTCCTCTTCCTCCTCCTCCTCTTCCTCCTCCTCCTCCTCCTGCTTCTCCTCCTCCTCCTTACTGAACTGGCTGGGACAGAACAGTAAATGAGCCATCCATCCAATACACCTAAGAATGTTTTGGGGGAATAAATAAACACAGTGCTAAAGTAGTCTGGAATTCGGGGAAAGAGGCGCTGGTGTGGTTATGAACAAGCAGGGAAGCTCCACTGTTGGAGTGGGCTCTAAGCTGGCCCACAAGTTGGGAAACATCTGTAAAGAAATCTAGGAAAATAAAAGCTCCAGCCCACAGGGAGAACAGGGAGGAGTCCCACTCTATCCATGGAGCCAGCAGATCATCATCTGCTACATACTGTCAGGCCTTGGGCAAGAAAGTGGAGATTCAGGAATACATCATAGTCCTCCAAGACTTCCTAGTCCAGACATGGCTCTTGAAGAGTAACAGGAACTAGAGGACACAATAAAAGGAGCTTCTCAGCTCTGAGGAGGTGGGATTGTGCTGCCCTGGGCAGCTGAGACGGGACATGCCACTCTACCTTCCAGGTCCCTCATAAGCAGACCAGTCTCTCTACATCTCCTGATAGCCCACCCCCTTCCTGAGCACCCACTTTGTGTGTCTCACCCTCACTGAGGCACTGAGGTGTGTCAGGGAAAAGGGAGCATGGGGGTTTTGTCCTTGAGGAGGTCAAGAATAACCAAGGGTGGAGAAAACATAACTCTACAAAAAGGTATCAGTGATGCCATGCCTTCAGGAGAAGCCAATGGTCTTCATTGATAGGTAAAAGCTCTCTGTGGCTAAAACACTGTTACCATTGTAGCTTTTTCTGTGCCACTTGTCAGTGACATAGCAACCTGCATCTTTCTCCCTGAGAGCTGAAATGAACTCCCTGTAGTTGCAGAATGTGTGGTTGTCCTCCTGCCTAGTGTCCAGAGACCCTTGTACTCATTGACAGTGAATTCCCAGCCACCCCTTGAAGACACAACGTGAGCTTCAGCGCCTCTGGGGTAGCGTCCTTTATCCACCCTCTTCTACACTTGGAGACAAGCATGCGTTCCTTTGTTCTTACATCTGGGCAATTACAGAGCAGTAAACTATGCCTACTTTCTGCCTACCCTCCTAAGGGGTAGAGATCCTGTCATATGATTTCTACATCTGGTACTAGGTTATAGCAGCTGCCTAGTGAATAAATGGTTGAGTGTCCAAGTCCTAGGAGAGGTGAGGGTTCACATTGTCAGAGACGACTTTGATGAAAAGATGTATTGAAAGGAGCTATGGGGCTAGCGGGATGGCTCAGTGCTTAAGAGCACTGGCTGCTCTTTTAGCCGACCCAGTTCAATGTCCAGCACCCACACGGGGGCTCACATCTTCTGGACTCTTAAAGAAAAAGGCCTATGAAAGATCAGGAGGAACTTGATAAATAAATTTTTAAAAAGACACTTCCCTATGGGGAAATGTTCACCAAGACAGATACTACTTGCGCAGGAGAGGCCAGTGTGGATATTGGGAAGGAGTGGATATCTTCTGTGGGCCAACAGGTGAACCAAGAATTCTATATACATTCCCTCATGTAATCTCAGCAACAGCTTTATTATTCTCATCCTCCACCTGAAAGGCCCTATGACCTTCTTTATGGTTACAGCAGCTAGTATATAAAGGGAGTTTATAAGAGAAAAAAGCCTACCCACAGTCTGGCCTTTTTCTGCCTCCCTGTGCCAGGGATCTAGCTCAGGCCCTCACACAAGTTAAGCACGTGCTCTGTTCCTGAGCTACATTCCCAACCCTGCACTCAGTCATTTTGTTGTCTGGTTTTCACTTGTACCTTTTGTTTGTTTGTTTCTCTAAGGAAGGGTCTTGTTATGCAGCACAGGCTGACCTCAAGCTTTTGGTCCTCCTGCCTCAGTCTCCTGAGGGCTAAGGTTACAGGCATGTGTCACCAGATCTACAAGCTGATTTTAAATCCCACCTTCTTTCTGCTTCATGCTAAAGGAACAGACCTGCACCAGATCCCATAATTCTGCTTGCACAGACCTAATGAACTAGTCTCTGCTTTAAAGATTATAGGGATTTGTCTGGTCCCTACACTGAGTCCTGAGTGTTCACTGATGTCATGGAGCCATTTGAGACTGGAGTTTTCTCTGTGTTGTATAGAGTGCGTTTAGCATAAAGAAGGCATAATTTCAGCACAGGAAGGAAGGGAAGAAAGGCAGGGCATTACAAAAGTTACACTTCTGGAGTGTTTAATGATGGGGACCCCTGGAGGCCCTGTCAGTCTTCTGACTAGATTCCTTTCTTTCTCTCCATAAAGGTCAGATTCTCAGTGATGGAAAAGTCTTCATCCATCTGTGCAACTACATTGAGCCCTGGGAGGACCTGTCTTTGGTGCAGAGGGAGAGTCTGAATCATCACTACCCCCAGAACTGTGGCTGCCAAGTAAGGGAATGTCCATTTCCAAGGTTATTTGTGGGTGAGGGACAAGCTTAGAGCCTTGGGGTCTCATCCTCCATGTATTCCACCATATACGTGAATTCACTTCCTACACTCAAGTTGTGCCATGGAAGTTGGGGGTGGGAAGGTGGAGACTGCACCTTCTTTTTTATCTCAAAGTACTTATGCTTTGGGGGGGGGACACCGTGCCCACACAGGGCAGACTGAAATGACACTAAATCACCATTTAAAGAAAGTCTAAGCCAGGTGTGGTGCCTTAGCAGTACTGTAGCACGTGAGAGGCTGAGGCAGGAAGGATTCCAAGTCTGAGGCCAGCTTGGGGCAACATAGTGAGACACTGTCTGTTTTAAAAATGAGAAAAGGGAGCATGGACAGACAGACAGAGTACTCTTTTCCAGGCCTGTAATAATTAATTTATTTTCAAATTTTAATTTAGTCTAAAACAAATTTTGTGAAGAACCAAGGTTTTAATTTGAAGGTAAAGAACCAAAGCTCTAAAGAGTATTTACAGTCATGGCAGTAAGGGACCCATCAAGGCTGAGTCTAGTGACACCAGGAAGGTAATACTGTTCCCAAGGAGATAGATGGGGAGGAGGGCTCAGGGGGAATCTTGGAACTGTGAAAAGACAAGGCAGTTGAGATGGCAGTGAGGACACACGGGATGTGAAAGGCAGCACAGAGAAAGGATACTCTATTCACTTTGATATCGTGTGGTCACAACTAGATCATCACTTGCTATGCGGTGCCCTGTACCATCTCAGCCCCCAATGAGTGTCTCTGGACAGACTGGCTGCTGGAACGGAAGCTCTATGGGTACCAGGCCCAGCACTATGTCTGCATGAAGCATGTTGATGGCATCTGTAGCTGGTACCGGGGCCACCTACGCCTCCGGAAGGAGTACGTTGACATCATCCAGCCGTAGTAGGGACCAGTGACCACTACATCCCTGGAAAGAGTCCTGAAGACCAAGCCAGTTCTCTGTGGTACTCTGACCATCACCACCTGCCATGTTGCTGCCAGATGATGGGAAGTGACAAGTGGGTGGCCTGGCCAGCACTGTGGCAGCTGTGGAGCATGCGACAGCTTAAGTCCACATCTCCAGCTCACAACTTGTCAAGGGCTGGGGAAGGTAGTATGACTTAGCTGCCTTGCCCTCAGCCCTCTCCCTTGTCTCCCAAACCTTGTTAGTCTAGTTTATACCTATTACTGAAAGTTCTTCTTCTGGCTTTGTTTTCTCCAGCCAGGAGAATATACGTTCCTTTTCTTAGCTCCTATGGTAAGGGAGGAGCTGTAAGTGTCATAAGACAGTACAACCTTGTGATGTACGCTATGGAAGGGGTGACTGTATCCTGAGTGGGCTGCTTGGCTGAAATGTAAAGAATACACTAAAGCTCCATATCCTCTACTCCCACTGTCTCGACTTAGCCTAATCCTCTGACACATTTTTGTCTGCTTAAAGGACACAGTGAGAGCTGAACAGCCCACTCTTCCCGGTACCCTGCAAGTCCCCTGATACTATTGTTGGCAGAAGGTCTGGTCCAGATAGCATTCGTCTCTGGACAAGAAAAGACTGAGTATACCAGAACAAGCATTCTCCCTCCAGGTTAAATATCTCTACTGCCTTCAGTTGGTGTGCAGGGACTTTTCCTCAGCCTCCTTTAGGTTGCTAATGTCTTTGTTCCTACCTTAGAACTTTGTTTTGAAGCAAAAACAAAAAGGTGGAAAACAACACAAGTGACCCCAGAGCATGGTGTTCTCCTGAGGCCAAACTTCAGGAGAGGGTGGGAGGGGGCGATCAGAACCCCCTGGGGGGCGATCAGAACCCCCTGGGGAACATGCAGTGGGGAGCGCAGCTTGCAATTGCTCCAATTCCTTCAGCAGCTATCCCTGCTGGACGACGCTACAGCAGGAGACAGCTAGCTGTGACCCGGAGAGCATTCCCACCCTTCAGCTAAGTCCCCTTACCTCCTGGGTTGTCTACATGGGGAAACACTGACAATGGCCTCTGTGATTTGTTAACTCACAGAGCTCAACGTCCCAGAACCTTTTCCTGGGGAAAGCTCTGGAAAAGATGGTAGGGGTCGTCAGTTCTTTTGACCACTCGGGACTGTCTTTCATTTTGATGTGTGGTCAGCTGGTGAGCAGGGCCATGTGTACTGTGCTGGAAGACGGCTCTGGATTTAAATGCAATGATGGAGAACCCTTTGGGAGGAGAGAGTAGGAGGGGACCAAACTTGATCCCTGTCCCAGAACACAGCACTTGGGAGGCTCTGGCAGCGAGTCTCCAAGCGGGGTCCTCCAGCAATAATCCACACCATCCTTGGGCAGCGAGTGTGAGGAGGGAGGAGGATGGAAAGTAGCCTCCAGGTTACGCCGTATGACAGACACATCCTCACAGCTTCCAACCAATCATTTCTCCTTTCCTTCTGACCTCCGGGGGTGGACTCGGAGAAGGCACAGGATTAACTCTGCTTTGTCACAATTTGGAGGTGGTGAAGGGAATGGAAGTCTAGTGAGGGATAACAGAAGCAACAGGTCCCGTCTCGGGAGGCTCATCTCCACCAGAAGGCGATTATTGAGGAACCTCCTTGAAATTGGATGCACGCTGTGTTAGATACCCTGGTCAAGGGCAGCCATGCTCACTTGTCAGAGTTGAGAAATGACACACACTGAGGGACTGTAACACCCCCAGAGACGCAGGGCAAAGCTGCGGCGGTAGGAAAAGCTGTGAGCCCTCCTGATGGTTGACTCTCAGGTTCGCTACTCTCTCACGTTAGAACGCCCCCTGTTTCTGCTTCTCTCTACTCTGTCCCCAGAGACGGAAAACAAAAGGCTGTTGGCTAGAATCTAGCTGCTTCTGCTGCCCTGAGCAGTTCCGCAGCTACCTGAGGTGTCAGGGCTGAGGGGCTCAGGCGCCTGCCAGCCCTCCAGAGTCACCCTGTGGCTAAGAGTAGCAACAGTGCAGAGTCAAGGCCCCCCTTGGCCACCTACCATCTCGCGGTGGTTGGGATAGTATGTCTGCTCAATGAGTGGGAATTTCTCCCCTCCCAGTGTCTTGAAGATGGCCACCATCTGGGCAAACTGCAAAAGACAAGAAAGAATTTCACTGTATCTTCAACTTCTGGACCAGACACAACATCAGTTTGTCAAGTAAACACAGAGCATTTTCACTGTAGAAGACGCTGTGTTAAATCAACTGGCAGTACTGAGAAGGGAAAGGTACATGTAATTTCAAGGATATACGCTTTAGTAGAGGAAGGCAAAGAGAAAGCTAGTATTCATTGGGGGCCTACTTAATTTCAATGGTTTCCGCCCAATCTTTTCTTTCTTTCTTTTTTTTTTTGGTTTTTCGAGACAGGGTTTCTCTGTGTAGCTTTGTACCTTTCCTGGAACTCACTTGGTAGTCCAGGCTGGCCTCGAACTCACAGAAATCCGCCTGCCTCTGCCTCCCGAGTGCTGGGATTAAAGGCGTGCGCCACCACCGCCCGGCTTCTGCCCAATCTTTTCAAATTGACAAGGCTGAGAAGGGGTTCAGAACTTCACTGGTATCACAGAAATGGGGCTGGGGAGAGCGGTGCACATCTATAATCTCAGTACTCAGTGGAGGCAGGAGGATGATGAGTCTGAGGCCAGCTTGGGCTACAGAGTGAGCTCCAGGCCATTGTGTTGGGCTAAATGGTAAAATATTGTCTCAAGAAAAATCAAATGAGTGACAGAACTGAAGAGAGGTGAAGCTGGAACTGAAACCTGAAGTCTAACTCCAAACGCATGCTCTTCTGAGCATGGCAGAGCTGAAGAGGTAACGTGCCAAGGCTCAGAAGTTCTGATGCCAGGCGAAGAAATAAAAGACACCCCTCCCGTATGCTCTACAGAGCCACCAGAGTCTGCAGGGGTGACATAAATGAAGCTGTTCTTCAAAGACTGGAGGGCCACAGTGGTGAAACCTACAGGTCCATCTTCCCGGCACTGACTGCTGGGATAACAAGAACTGAACTTGCTAGACCCTTTATCTGTGGCAAAAGGAGAAACAGCAAGGTTCAGATATTCACAGTGTTGGGGCTGGGAGGCTTCTGATGCACATCTGGCTCTCATCTTTCAAAAACAAAGAGACTAAGAACAGGGAGGTCAGCCGCCCGAGGTCACATGCTTGAGCAAGGCTCACGGCTAGATCCTTCATTCCCAGTCTCTCTTTCTTCTGAATCTTTTGAATACCCACTTTTCCGATTCTACAGAGGCCACGCAGTTCTCACAGGAAACATAGATCTTTCCCACCTAGTCCACATTTAACCCACAACGCCAATCCCAGTGCATGGGCAGCTAGCTTCTTTTCTCCAGTAGGATCCGTTCAGGCTCCAAATCGCCAATAGCTTGGTCAGTTTCAAGGGAAAGTTGTTGGGTCAAACCTGCCCTCTACTTCTCAGAGACGGGAAAGCTAGGGCCTTTTCCCAAAGTTTAGGTCCCGTTCTCTGTAAGGGATGTTAGTGCATGAGCTATTCAGGAAGGATTATTCGCAGAGAGGAGTCTCCTGGTGGTCTCCCTTTAACTCACTAGTTGCCTTTGGACAAAAGGCCCCTCCCAGCCAGGCTCCCTCTTCAGATGTGAGCAGAGAAGGGTCGTTTCCTTCAGCTTTTCACACCGGGCATCAGGAAGAACATCTTTGATTGCATTTCCCCCACACTCCTCCACCAGACTGTGGTCCTTTTGTAGGGAAGATTTTATTAAAATGCAGGGAAATGTGGGCCTTCCTGGGCCCCAGCCTTCAGGGTGTGGGACTGGTAACTTCCGAGGTCTAAGACTTGCTTTAGGACTCAGTCTCTAACACTTTATGGTTGAAAGAGACTTCAGACAGTCTCCACACCGGGTCTGGGGAGACTGAGGCTGGAGAAGCCTCGGAGCATGGCAGGCATTGCGGCTCCACTGGGAGGGCGCCCAGGTTTCTTCACTCCCTGCCCGCTGCATCCTCTGCTGGCTTCTCATCCCTGACTGACCCTCTGCCCTTCCCTTCCTTCCTTCTCCGATTCTTCCTACTACCTCCCCTGACCTTCAGCTCTACCTGCCCACCTGGACCTGGCTGGGTTCCTTTCCTGCCTGGGCTTCTAAGGTTCTCCAGCATCCCTGGGGAGCTGATGCCAGCTCTGCCTAAAGACCTCTGTCCTGCTGCAGCCCACACTTTGGCACGGCTCCAAGACATGTGGGGCCCTATCTTCCCTATGTGTGGGTGAGTTACACAGACAACCTCACGGATGCCAGGAAGGCCTCCGGCAGACTCCCAGGGCCCTGGGACAGCCAAGACTAAGATGACAGCCAGTTCCCAGGCTCCGGTTGGGTCCCCGAGAGCCCACTTTACCCCCCTACCCCATTCCCTGTCTGATTAATGGACTGGACTTGGCATCAAAACTCTGCCTCCCTAGAAACTTAGATTAAGTTGCAAGTACACAGTTACCAATTAAACAAAGGTAATATCTGATAAGAGCTATTTCCTCTGTGCAGACCAAAAAATGAATTGGAGAGCTGGTGTGGTGTTGGCATTGAATAGAAAGATGTTTATTAAACCACTTATCCAATGACTCAAGAAAGAATTCATTAAGAAATGGGGTCTGGGATTCTGTTTGAATGATGTGCTCTCCCTGTCTCTCCCAGACAGTAAATGCTTAAGTTTAACCCAGGTCTATCAATCTCCAAACGACCCAGAATTCAGCTCCACTGGAGCAGTAGGGGATGCTGGCATTCTTGCTTTCTCTGGACAGCTGCTTTCATTGACGGAACTGTTTTTCCTTCTGAAATCCCAGTGGCTGCCCTGGACAGTTTGGGGGACAGCAGACTTGCTCAGAATCATTCTGGTGCAAGGCAGAGCCTTCTCGAGTCCACTGGATGCCTCTCACATCCAGAACACCCACAGTAAGAAATTTAGGGAACGTGAGCCAAAGCTAGCGTATCACGGGGACACTCCTCTCACCATCATCAAATGTGTCCGCGTCTCCTGACAAGCTGAGAACAACATGTAAAATGTCACTTGGTGGCGGCCGCTTGGTGAGACTGCAGGGAGAACTTGGGGTGTGGCCAGCAAGCCCTGTTGTTCCCATACAACGCCAAAGGCAGTGTGCTAGGATTGTGAATGGGTGAGAATGTGACCCCTCACCAGATCCCAGATCCCATGAGGGATCTTTCTGTTCCTCCCTTCTCTAGCCTCTGCCACAGTTTAGGAACAGAAAGCATGGGACCAGTTCCTTTAGGAAGTCTCAGATATCAGGGAACTATAATAACCGCATTGGCAAAGTAATGGTATATACGACCACACTGGCAAAGGAATGGGATGTACTATTAGTCACAGTTTGTAGACACAGAAACTGGGACACAAAAGATGGTTAGTCACAGGGCTGTCAGTAAGGCACTCAGGAAAAGCTG